TTGTTTTCTCAGTAATGCATACTAACACAAGAATTAAAATGTTAAAATAGAGGCACACATTTTCAGACAGAATCGTCCCATTTGCCTGCTTTGTATAACAAAGACTGAAAACTGCCAGATATTTTCAGTAAATTGAATGTGTTAAATTTGTACCTCAAAGATTTTGGTGAAAATATATCTAAAGCATAGATATAATACATAATTGTTAGAAATTTTATTCTGGTAATTATTTAAATGTAAAATTTTAGATCACATGAAAACCTGTGAGAGTATTTCATTTTTAAAAACTGTTATGTGGTGCCTGAGCAAAAATGTTTGAAAACTATTGTTTTAGTATATTAAATGGAAGAAAGACTCCTAACCTACTGGAAGAAGGTTTTACCATGAAAATTATCAGAGTAACATGACAATTGTCATGAACTTTTAAGTAAGGAAGATATACTTTTTTTTCCATTATTTTCCTCAAGGTAGTAAGCATTTAATATCACAAGTATGAGGTTTTATATGAGGTCTTATCTTTTTGGCATTTCAGTGTATTATATAACAGTAGAAAAGAAGGTCCAATGATTATGACTATGGTATGGAAAACTAAGAGTTTTAATTTGCTTTATAAGGAAATTCATGCCCATAGATGTGTCTATTGTAACTTTCCCTCAATTCGAGAAAGTCAGATTATCTCTCATAGTATGGGATTTCACCTGAGCAAGGAAGAGAAAATCCAGTTCTAAGAACATAATATATCTGTACTGATATAAAGGATATTTGCAGGTAGAATTGAAATACTCTGCTGTCCTAAAAACTAAAAACTGCAGTGAGAATACAACTAAAAAAAATTAGTGAAATATTATAGCATTTTGATGTCTTAATCTTGGCTTATATTTTAATGTACATAATTTTTAGCATAAACTTTAATAGCATAGCAGTGACAATCATTTCCACTGTCTACAAATAACATGCGTTTAACTTATCATTAATTACTTATTCAAATGTTTTTGAGAAATAATAAATATCTTTTAATTAAATATTTTCTTAAATCCACAGTTATTCAAATGTATAATATAAATGTATTCTATGTAACTTGTCATTCCTAATAAACTTAACTAAATATTTGTTACCACTAATTTTTGACCATCTAATTTCAATTTTCTACATTTTCTATAGTTCAAATTGAAATACAAAATCTGAAACCAGCAAATAATTTATTCCTATGGCAATATGCTGAACATCCCTGTAATTATAAACCAAGGATTCTTTGTGATTTAGTAAATAATCAAAAACAGTAACAAATAGCAATTCCAAAATTTTCACAAAGATAACTAATTTTCTATCATTCCTTAAAAGGTCTGGCAAGTGAGCTTATATTAAATCAAAAAGCTTTACAAGTAGTGTAGGTGCCCAACAGAAAATGTATTCAGTCCTGGCACAAAATATCTTATTAAGAATCATCAAGAACAAGCTGTATCAAGAAGAGAAACTGCATCACTAAAACAGCAAAAACAAATAAACCAAAACTTAAAATAGAAGCCATCATACTCATGGATTTTTACAGGATATTCCAGAATGAAAGGGATCAGTGGATGTGTTAGGTGGGGCAGCCACCAAGAGAGATTGGAAATGATATCCCAACTGGTAAATGGAGCAGAGATTTTTCAGGAATGAAGGCAAGAAAAGAAAATTACAGGCAGTAAAAACAAAAGCGAAAACTCCTCTATTTTTTATGTCTTATAGAATTAACAAAGTAGTGACAGATTAAAAGTAGATAATGCCCACCTACAAATGAGACAGTCAACCCAAGAATTTACTAATGACCCTCTGAAGGTAAGTGTCTTCATGAGCACATGAGTAAAGCACAAAGAAATAGGAAAGACGACAGAAAGACACAGGGTCAGGAAATAGTGAGTATAGTTGACCCTTGAACACATGGCCTTGAACTGTGTGGGTCTACTTATACATGGATTTTTTTGATATACAGTACAGGGCTGTAAATGTATTTTCCCCTCCTCCCTAGGATTTTCTTCATAATACTTTCTTTTCTCGAGCTTACTTTATTGTAAGAATACAGTATGTAATACATACAACACATACTAAATATGTGTTAATCAACTGTTTATGTTATCAGTAAGGTTTCCAGTCAACAGTACACTATTAGTAATTAAGTTTGGGGGGAAGTCAAAAGGTATATGTGGATTTTTGACTCTGGGGGGTTGGTGCCCTAACCCCATGTTCAAGGGTCACTGGTATATTTAAGATATCTATATATCTTTAAATATTATATTATTAGAGTAGAAATTCTTTAATTTAGAGGATAGCCCATCTGCTATGCCAAAAGCCTCATTAATATTGTTTTAGGATTATTACACTCACTAATATAAGTTGGTGTTAAGAATTTCTTCCCTGTATTTTCTCAAAGATCAGGAAATTGTTGCAGATGTGTCAATTTTGCTGTGTCCTCTGAAGTTAATTTATCTGAGGAAATTCAAGAAAATATGCTGAGACCCCTGGTTGGGTAAGTCTCAGTTCCTGTGGTTAAGATTATCAGCACAATTCATACTATTTCAATATGGAATTAATGATCTGATCATTTTGTTCACTAGCACCTTAAGTACCAGGATCTGACATAAATCAAAGCCAGTTTAAGAAGAGGGATTTACTAGTGGTAATGAGGAAAGTTTCCCAGTTAATTCAATTCAGTGCAACATTTCTTTCCTGTTATTTTGACAGCAATAATGCCTTGGGCTGTTATATGACAAATAAATCCAGTGGCCCAACATTGATGAGATGGAACTGATAGGGCCATTATTTTTCTCCAATACATTGATAGAAGCAAGCGTCTCAGATCCTCTGGATGACTTTCTAAATACCCATGGGACTCTCGGAACTTTTACTACAAGGTGGTGACACCAAGATGCCCCTAATTGTAATCACCTGAGGAGGGAGGAGGCAAGCCCTCAAGAGAGACTTCACACTGCTTTTCTGGGAGAATAGGGGAAGGATCAAATCTGTGTGCTATTGAGTTGGGAAACAAAGTTGAGACACAAAGTAATGTTAATTGCACATTTAAGTTTTTTCTTCTTCTTATTATTATGTTATGTTAATTACCATACATTACATCATTAGTTTTTGATGTAGTGTTCTATGATTCATTGTTTGCATATAACACCCAGTGCTCCATGCAGAACGTGCCCTCCTTAATACCCCTTTAAGTTAAAGACCCAAATTGTACTTCTTTGTTAAATTCTGAAAAAGGAGAAAAAGGAAAAAATTCCTCAAAGGTGAAGTGAAAAGGACAAGTGAGCCCCAATTTCATAAAGAGGAGTCTACAGAAACTTGAGTTATATATTTAGGAAAAAAAAGGGAAAAAAAGAAAATGACACTTGTTACAACTTTGTCAAACTTTGGAGCATTTTTTAAGTTTTGTTTGTTTTTACTTTTGTTTGTTTTATGTAGCAATTGCCATCAGTACACTTGAAATTTTACTTAAACATTTAGGAAAGATGTATAGTATACTAAGCACTAGGATAACGAAGGTGATATAAATATATTTTCCTTCATTAATTTGTTGAACAAAATCTATTATTTTGGTACTTTATTATGTGTCAGACTCTGGAGATTCAGAAGTAAGCAAAGCAGATGAAGTTCCTGGTCTCATCAAACCAGAAGTGTCATGGAACAATATAAAAATATAACAATATAAAAATAAAATATAAAAATATAAAAAACAATATAAAAGCACAAAATGTATAAGACCAGTTGCTTTTACTTTTATTTAATCTTGTCCCAGAATAAACTGAGTAGAAATAGAAATGATTGTGCTCTGGATATGTTTTACCTACTTGTAAGGTTTGGCTTTCTCCTCCAGTATTAGTATGGAATTGTCTCCTTGTCCTTGACTTCCCCTTTTCTCACTAAATCTTGCTTCAATGTTTCTCTGAAAAGTAAGACCCCTTCCCCGCCCCCTTTTTTAACTACCCTATGCTTTTTATTTCCATACCATTTTGTACTCTAGAATTATTTATTCTATATTTATAGTCTGTCTGCCTTAAATGAGGTCATGAGATTCGTGAAGGTAGGACCCATATCTGACCAACATTGTGCTCCATTATTCTAGCAGAGGGCCTTTCACACCCTATGGTTATTCAGTGTCTGACCAAAATGTCACTACGCAAGTGATCTTTTTCTCTTTTTTTTATTTTTTAATTGACCAGAATTTGCTAATTGACCAATGTCATACCATAAGCACTTCCTATAATTATTCTTTTTTTGAAACAATATCACCACTGAAAGAAACCAAAAGCCACACTTCTTAATTCAAGTTGCAAAGCACAGGAGACTTAACATTTCAGACAATGAATTATCCAACATTTTCAATACATTACTAAGTCTTAATCCAAAGAATGCACAGCAGATGAGTTCCTTTTGCTACATACCAACAAGTTTCTTCTGTGCTCTTTTTTTTTTTTGGTTTTATTTTCCTTGAAGCATAGGAAGAAGAAATGTTTCTATTTTCCCTTTTGTTTAACTCTCAACAAATCCAGTGATTCAGAAGAAGGATGCCTGCCTGAACTCAATTTTTATCATCCTTAGATGAAGTATGGCAGAATCGTCAAATAGCACATCTCCTCTCACCTGCTGCTTCATTCATCCTGAAAAGGCACACAGCCCTCTTCAGAAAAGGCAGATTTTAGAACAAATCATGTCATTTATTACCTCTGAAGGAATTTTGAAGAGAGTGTACATTAACTTTTTTATAGTATTTCCATCTCCTTTTTCAGTATAAAAAATATAGAAATAAGCCTTCTGAGGCATCCACATAATAACCTAGCTTCTTATGCTCTCTGGGAGACAAGGCAGTTGGAAACTGTGAAGTTTAGGAAACCCAAAATGTTTAGAATCCTAGAGGTCCAGACAGTAAGAACATTTTCCATGAGAAACATTTTCCAAACTAGTTCTTGAAAGATGCTCTTCAGAAAAGAAGAAGAAAAGAAAATGATGGACAACGGTTTTTGGAAAACGCTACTTAATATATTTGCTGTTTAGATTAATGATACATAGGCGGAGGTTAAATATGATAAATACTACAGGAAAGAAATGTGTTTAATTTTTGTGACAGAATAATTTATTGAGGTTTTATCTCATTTTTACTCTTCTGCAATGTCTTCTTCTTCTCTTTTAGGCAAGTAGCTAGATCCATTCGGATTTCTTGTTTCTTGGCCCAAAGCAGAAGATTCTTCATGTGACTAATTTCTCCTCTCTTTCTCTCTTTGTAAAAGCCTAATGTTGTTAAAGAAAGGATGATAGTATCCTACGGGGGAAAAGAGAGTTTTGAACAAGAGACATAAATGAGAAAATTTCCCAGACCGGGAAACAGTCCTGAAGTCAGCAGGTCCTGAGAATAATAGGGATGTGTTTTCACTCCATGACATCACCTTTGACACATTAAAAACCCAAAGAGTAAGGCTGGATGGTGAGAACCTAGGTCCCAGGGCTTTTAACATTAAAAAAATAAGTCATGTGTCCCAAGCTTTGCACAAAAGCCATGGGTTGTAGCTTATCATGGGAGATCACATGACCTAGAACAATAAGGATGTAGGTCTTATCATGTTAGACTGAGCATGAGCAATAATCCCCACACCTTTTGCTGGAACCTTCTAAACCTATGGTATTCTTGTGCAACCTGGGATGATAGGTGAGCAGTCGAGAGACCTTGGCAATGGCTAATGTGGAATTTCCTACCAAACTAGCAGATGAGTAGCTCAGTAATTGAGTTTAACTTGATTTTTAAAATGGGTAAATATAGGGCACCTGGGTGGCTCAGATGGTTAAGCGTCTGCCTTTGGCTCAGGTCATGATCCCAGAGTCCTGGGATCGAGTCCCGCATCTGGCTCCCTGCTCCTTGGGAGCCTGCTTCTCCCTCTGCCTCTCTCTCTCTGTCTCTCATGAATAAATAAATAAAATCTTAAAAAAATAAATAAAATGGGTAAATATATCATTTCTTGTACACTTTTGTTTATAAAATAAGATTCAGATCACTACATTATTTTATCTGAATCCTATTCTTAAATAACAACAAAATTACTGAACACACTTAAAGGATTCAAATCCATTAAATGAAAAGAAGCTGTGGAACTATGATTTCGTGAAGCATATTTGGTGAATGAAACTCTGTAGCACCCCGTGAAAGAATTTCCTATGTTAGAAATGCATGTTGCCACAGTGAAACCGTTCTCTCTGCTCCCACTCAAAGGGCAGATACACATATTCCAATCAGAGAGCCAAAGGGGAGACCCAGTAGAGTGTTGCTCCTATGGTACCACTTATTTTGCAAATACCCTAATGTCTGAGAAAGCTGTAGTCCCTGCTGCCAGCCTGATTGTGCCCAGAAAAGGAGGCTCTTTGCTTTGATGTGCCCTTAAAGCAATGACATTTTAGAAGGGAGCCTATGGCCAAGGTTTAAATATGTCCTAATTTACAGTGACCCACACTAACTCTGGAGCTAGACTTCTGTATTCAAATCTTGGCTTTGCTACTTAATTGGTGTGAGCAGGTTATTTCCATTTTTTCATCTACAAAATGGGGATAATAAAATCACCTACTTCATAGGATTATTATGAGGGTTAACAGAGTTATGTGAAATGCTTAGAAAAGTACTCTGGCACATCTTAAGCACTGCGTGCATTTTAGTCATCGTGTGTGTTTAATTAGCAAGAACAAAATAAATTGCATCATTTCAAAGCCTTATGTTTTCTTTCCATGTCTCTCTCTCTCTCTTTTTTATTTCAGGCTGCTCTAGGGTAAAAATGGAAATGCCTGACAATCTCTTCTATTACAATTTTATAAATCAAATCTAAATTTACATGTTTTTATAATCAATAAATTCAGTACCCAAGATAAAAACTGTACTCTAGATAAAAGCAGAAAATCAGAAGAAATATCCATTTATAAATGCAGATGCATAGATGGGTCTTTCTATGAGTAACATTTAAAATTAAATCAGTTGATATTAAATCAAAGTCTGGAAAGCTTCTGAAATACAGTGCAGGACTCCATCAGTAGAAATCACATTTCGAGTAAGGAATGAGAGACTCTGAAAGCTATTTAACACTTTACAGTGCAATTGTAGTGCATCATCACAAAGAAATTTGGTCCAGGTGTTGCATTAATTGTGATACATGGGGAAAGTCCACAGCTCACTGGCCATCAAATGTGAATTTTTATATGTGAAGTGATTTAAGTCTATTATGCTGTGCGGTAAAAGAATGAATGCTCTAGATTAAGCTCACATTTGTTCTTTACTGACTGTATCCATTCGTAGCTTTTTGAATTTTCCTTTAAAAAAGTCTTTTCTTCCCAATCTGAATACATAACACATGTCAGGAAAATAAGATAAGCTATTCTGTTTATTATGTGTTCATTCAGTATTTATTATTCTTTCATAACCTAGTAATGAAATTAGAAACAACATATATGTGGTCTCCATAAATACAGATAACCCACATGTTCATTCCTTTCAATACTCCTGTCTGTTTCCTCACTCCTTATTATTTATGTCTTTTAGCCTCTAAGTTCTGACAATACTTAATTCAATTCAGAGAAAGGCAATATTCTTTTTTTTAAAAAAGATTGTGGTTTACCATTTTAGCCATTTTGTAATGTACGGTTCTGTGACATTAAGTATATTCACATTGTTGTGTAACTATCACCACTATCAATCTCCGGATCTTTTTCCTCTTCCCTGACTGAAATTCTGTATCCATTAAGCACTAACTCCACCCCTCTCTCCACCACATCCCCATGTCCTGGCAGCCACCATTCTACACTCTGTCTCTCTGAATTTGACTACTCTATGTACCTTATATGAGTGGAATCATATAATATTTGTCCTTTGGGTATTGGTTTATTTCACTTTGTTTAATGTCTTCAGAGTTCATCCATTTTGTAGTATGTGTCAGAATTTCCCTGAATTCATATATATGTATGTAAAATATATACCACGTTTGTTTATCCTTTGAATGGATACTTGGGTTGCTTCCACCTTCTGGAAGTTGAGAATAATAATTATTCTACTAGAATAATTTCTACTAGAAATCTAGGTGTTCAATATGTATTTGAGTCTGTGTTTTCAATTTTGAGTATGGAACCAGAAATAGAATTTCTGGATCATATGGTAATTCTGTTTAAATTTTTAAGAAACTGCCGTATTTTTATCCAGTGTCTGCACCATTTTACACCCTGCCAGCAATGCACAAGGGTTCCGGATTTCCACATCCTCACTGGCAATTGTTGCCTTCTGCTGCTGCTGCTGATGTTGTCGTTTATAATGGCCATCCTAATGGGTGTGAAGGGTTATCTCATTGAGGTTAAAATCGATATTCTTTATTTTTTTTAAGATTTATTTATTTATTTTAGAGAGAGAGCAAGAGCAGGAGAAGCAGAGAGAGAGGGAGAGAGAATCTCGAGCAAACTCCCCACTGAGTGTGGAGGCAGACCTGGGGCTCAATCTCACGACCCTGAGACCACAACCTGAGCCGAAAAGAAAAGTCAGATGCTTAATGGACTGTGCCATTCAAGTGCCCCAAAAGCATTCTTAACCATTAAGAATGTAGACTCTGGAGTTAGACTGCTTATTTGGAACTCTAGCCATTATCTGTATCTCTTTTCTTCCTCATTTTTTCCATGTATTATGAGGAGAGTATCTACTTCCTAGCATTATTGTATGAGCAAGTATGTTTACATTCATAAATTACTCAGAATAGTGCTTGGCACAGAATAAGTATATAAGTATTATTCAAATATTAGCTTTTATTATTATCCCATGATTAAGATTTTTCTTTAAACTTTCTCTATTTCTTTAACACTCATCTGTTTTCTACGGGTCTCAATTTTTGCTCTACACCAATTCTTGCCAATTTTCTCCATTTTAGAAATTTTTGAGTCTCTTTTATAATGGATTATCATATAATCTCTTTTATAATTCTAGTTGTCTCAAACCATTCCTATTTTCCTTATAAAATCCTTTCTCCTTATTTCTCCCCCCAAAAACTCCCAAACAAAAGTGTTTACATCTACAGCAGACAGCTGCTTATTTTCTCACATTTTCTTCCATCGTTCCTTTTTTTCTTATTTTCCTTAGTATTACATAAAAATCATCTTCTTTATTTCCTTCATGTATTTTTGCTACTCTCCTTCCTGAGTTCTACTTCCTTTAAGGTTCCAGGTGACTATCAGGTCACAGCTACAGGCTGTACTGCTTCTGCATTTGTGAGGCCAACTCTGGGACCTTTTGCACAGACTGAACCTACTTGGAGGGATGCTGGTCACATCTCCTGCTGCCCCTCACCACCCACTCCTGAAAACTCCTCCCTAGCTTTTTATACTCAGCTTCCTAAAGGATATCTCTAGCCTGGCCCGGAAAATGTTCACTCTTAGTGATATGACCCAGAGGTAATTACCCTTCTTTTCCATGGCTACCGTATCTGTCACACAAAACCCCTCTGCTGGCTTTCCTGGAGCTCAGAAGGCATAATTATTCACTTTTAGCAGATTGACGGTGTCTCCTATAGTCACTGTTCCATTTCTGAAAAGAAGAAAATCCCCCTGCTGGTACAAATACTGCTTTCTTGTCTACTTTCTAATACATTAATGACCAAAAACATCAGTCTCTAAGGTCATCCCAAATGAATAATAACTTAAACAGATATACAAAATTCACAGGACTTTCACTCTTGAAGAAATCCTCCAAATGTTTTCTTTTCACTCCAGGCAATTTTTTTTCTCTCTGCCCTCAAATCCTCCTACTCATCTAAACAGCTTCATCTAAACCTTGCCAAAGGGCCAACATAGCTGTTTCTGCTAGGATTGTTCCACCTCACATGTCTGCAAGGCCCTGACTTGCCTGTGGGTGATGAGCTCACCAGTCCCTAAACCTCAGAAGAAACTGCTTCCTGGAAACTCCCATGGCCCTGCTCTGAGGGTACTGTGTTCTATCATGCATTATACCTATATCTGTGCATGTCTTAGTCCTATTATAAAAAATTGAGCTCCTATTTTGGGATATGAATGTCTCATTTAGTTTTTATGCCTTCCTATACCTATATGAATTGAGACAAAAAAAACCAAAAACAAAACTGAAAAAACAGATTATGTGATGATAGCAAGACATATCTAACATTCTTCCTGCTGTATATATTGCCTTTCATTTGCTTTCAGGATGATAAAAAACAATAATTCATACAGGTATACCTCAGAGATACTGTGGGTTTGGTTGCAAACCACCACAATAAAGAAAATATTGCAATAAAGCAAGTCAAGTGAATTGTTTTATTTCGCAGTGCATGCAAAGTTATGTTTACACTATGTTGTAGTCTAGTAAGTGGGCAACAGCATTATGTCTAAAAAAGCAATGTACATACCTTAATTAAAAATACTACTAAAAAATGCTAACCATCATCTGATCTTTAGGCCAGTCCTAATCTTTTTGCTGGTGGAAGATCTTGCCTCAATGTTGATGGCTGCTGACTGATCGGGGCTTGGTTACTAAAGGTTGGAATGGTTGTGGCAATTTCTTAAAATAGGACAGCACTGATATTTTTCTCATTGATTACCTCTTCCTTCCATGAATGGTTTTTCCATAGCATGTGATACTGTTGGATAGCATTTTACCCACAGTAGAACTTCTTTCAAACTTGGATCAATCCTCTCAAATGTTGCTGCTGCTTTATCAGCTAAGTTTGTGTAATATTTTAATCTTTTGTTATCATCCCAACAATCTTCACAGCATCTTCACCAGGTGTAGATTCTATCTCAAGAAACTACTTTCTTTGCTCATCCATAAGAAGCTACTCATCATCCATTAGAGTTTTATCATGAGATTGCAGCAATTCAGTCATATCATCAGGCTCCACTTCTGATTCTTGTTTTCTTGCTATTTCCACCACATCTGCAGTGACTTCTTCTGCTGAAGTCTTGGACTTTCAATTTGTAAAAAGCACAATGCCTGTGAAGCGCAATAAAGCAAAGATCAATAAAAGAAGCTTTGCCTGTATATTTAAATTGTGAATATAGAGGATAACTGTGTTATGATAATTTCATAGTTGCAATGTACATGAGAACATTTTAATATATGCATATCAAAATAGAAGGGGTTCTGCTTAGTAGTTTACTAGACTTGTTTGCAGTGTACAACAAAGGTGCAATATGCTTAATTTTGAGTAAACTCAAAGTAAAGCATTTGAACCATATTTTGTTTGTTTGATTTAGATTCATCTGTAAATAATGGCAACATCTTAAACAATAGATGGTTTGTTTTTTTCTCATGAATATGGGAAGTTCAGAGTTGGAATGGCTACTCTGTGATTATCATGGGCCTAAGCTTCTCCTGTTTTAGAAATCTTTCATCTCAAACATGTGGCTTTTACCTCATTGTCTAATATTTATTTCACGTCTTGTCAAAATGTCTGCATTCCATTCAGCAGAAAAAAAGGGTAATGGGAGGTTATAACCTATTTCTTTAAGGACATTTCCTAAGTTTGTACAAACTATTTCCATTTCTGTCCCATTGTTCAGAACTTAGTTATATGACAACACTTATCTGTACAAGAAGGAGGTCTTCTGTCTAGCCCCATACCAGGGCTCTTCTTGCTGATGGAGAAGAAGAGGAAGAGGAAGAAAAGAGAAGAGGGAGAAGGAGGAGAAGGTAGAGGAGGACAAGGAGGAAGACAAAAAGAAGGACAAAAAAGGAGGAGATAGAGGACAAGGGGAAGTGGAGAAGGTGGGAGGTAGAATAGACTATGAGAGAGCCAGCCATCTCTGTACACAGTGAATAGATAAAGATAATTTTGGTACCTACATACTCAGGATTTATAGGCTTCAGAAAATTGTCCAATTGGATATTGGAACTTAAACTATTTCAAATCAGCAGTATCCAAAGCCTGTACATGCATTCATATTGGGCAAGTCAAAATGAGAAAAATAAGAACAACACAGTGGGAGTCTGATAAAGCTTATTTAATATTTTTTTTTAAAGATTTTATTTATTTATTTGAGACAGAGAGAATGAGATACAGAGAGCATGAGAGGGAGGAGCGTCAGAGGGAGAAGCAGACTCCCTGCCGAGCAGGAAGCCCCATGCGGGACTCGATCCCGGGACTCCAGGATCATGACCTGAGCCGAAGGCAGTCGCTTAACCAACTGAGCCACCCAGGCGCCCCAAGCTTATTTAATATTTTTAAATTCAGATTTATTCCTTGACTTGGTTTTCAAATGCCCTACCTAATGTGCAGTACAGTTGTAGTGAGAGAAGAGTATATTTATTATTGTTTTTCTAAAAATGAAATATGTAAATTGCATAGTATTTTACCTTTTAGGATTGTCTTTCTTCACTGAGTATAATTTCCTGGAGATTCATCCCAAGTTGTTGGATGTTTCAATAATTCATTTGTTTTTATTGCTGAGTAGTATTCCATGGCACGGATATGACATAATTTGTTTAAACATTTGCATATTGAAGAGCACCTGGTCATTTCTAGGTTATGAATATAACAAATACAGATGCTGGGAACAGTTGTGTACAGGTTTTTGTGTGAACATAAGTTTCCTTTTACCCCCCCTCCAGGAAGATATGCTCAAGAGTGAAACTGCTTCTTCATATAATACTTGCATGTCTAGTTTTGTAAGAAACAGCCAAGCTATTTCCAAGAGTAGTTGTACCATTTGACATTCTTATCAGTAGTATATAAATGACCCGGTTTCTTTACAATCTTGCCGGAACTTGGTGTTAGCCATTCTGATGTGTGTGTAGGGAAAAACTTTTTTTGAACCAACAGCTGATCATGTGGGCATTTAGAAGAGAAGTAAGTTCTGAGAAATTTTTCTTTTTTTCTTTTTCTTTTTCTTTTTTTTTAAGTTTAAATAGATTTGAGCTTATTATTGGGAACTATTCCTGTATTCTAAGGATGACATAATGCAACTAGCTTCACAGAGCTGATAGGCAAATTGTATAAAGTTAAGTTGAAAGTGGGATTTTTGAATTGTAGGACCAAATCTTGCACTTAATCATTTTTAACTCATTCATTCCCAAATATTTACTGAGAGGCTTTTCCTACTTGAATATCATACACAATATCAACTAATAGATTTAGTGGTAATAATTGCTGTAGAAAGGGTAGATTTTGCTGTTGGGAGAAATCCCAGCCCAATAAACAAGTAAGCCACAAATCCAATAAAAACTAATATATTAAGACAACCTCAGATCTTTTGCATAATTATTTCTGATGACTGTGAAACAAGAAAGAAAAGTCAAAAAAGCCAAAAAAGACCATAGCTATAGTTAAGAGATACTCAATATGCCAAATTTCAATAAATACTACAAGATCTGGATAGATTGCTAGAATGCTAGAACCGATATGATAGAAACATTGTTTTAAAACAAAACAAATGTTTTAGCATGACTCTAATTGGTTATTTTCTTAAAAATTAAAACAATGTAGGAATTATTTCAACAAAAGTATTTGAGAATATACCTTCAAATATTACTTTAAAATTTTAGGAACATTTTCTAGACTAAATGGCTGTACTTAATAATCACATATTTAACTCAGTTACTCCCTCTGCCCTAGGAAGATTTCCTCGGAGATCTGGACACTATTAAGATTATTACCTGAAATTTTAAAAAATTAAGTATTGATGCAAAGAGTACTGGTATGATGAGGTTGTCAGAACCGGAAATCAGCAACATTGTTTTACTGCACCTGTTAGCAGTATTCAGTGCTGTTGGCCCCATCCTTCTACTCATATCTGGCTTCAGAGAGACTCTCTTGGAATTTTTTTTCTATGTCTCTGGTCACTTCTGAATCTTCTTTAGTAGCTTCCCCTCCTCTACTTCGAGAAGTAGAATTAATTAGAAATATTTTTCAGGTCTTCTTTCCTTCCCTTTGCACACACTTTTCCTAAGTTGTCATTTACTCCTAGGGAATAAACTGGATTTCTCAAATTTCTATCACCTAGACCTCTTCTCTATACCATAGATTCACAAATGAAATTGGTAATTGACATTTTTACCTGGATGTTTCTCATACATCACAAACTGAATAAGTTAAAACATGAACTATTGATTTTACTTTCCAAGTATATCCTAATACCCTCAGTTCTTCCCATTTCATTAAATGGCATAACTACCCACCTGATTACTCAAGTAAGAAATCTTGGTATTTATCACCCTTCCTCTTACTACCTCACCTTAGCTGAGCCTTATTGATTTTTATCACACAAACACAAAGGAGGCAGTCCATTTCTCTCTATCTTCAGCATCAGCACCCAAGCCCAAGCCACCAACTTTCATCACCTATAGAACTGGAACAGCTCTCCATTGATGTCTCCATGTCCATTCTTGTCAATTCCAATCTACTTTTTAAAATTGAAGTATAATTGATGTATAATATTATATTAGTTTCAGGTATACAACATAATGATTCCATATTTGTACCCAATTTATTTTTAATGAAGCAGCTAGAAAAATCTTAAAACCCAAATCAGCTTTTGTCAATCCTCCGATTAAAACAAATATAATCTGACTTTTTTTTTTTTAACAATGGTATATACCTGATCTGGTTTCCTTTTACCTTTTTTTTTTTTTGAAAAGCAGAACACTTTATTTTTTTATACACTTTTTATTATGTTATTTTAATGACCATACATTACATCATTAGTTTTTGATGTAGTGTTCCATGATTCATTATTTGCATATAACACCCAGTGCTCCATGCAGAACGTGCCCTCTTTAATACCCATCACCAGGCTAACCCATCCTCCCACCCCCCCTCCCCTCTAGAACCCTCAGTTTGTTTTTCAGAGTCCATCGTCTCTCATGGTTCATCTCCCCTTCCGATTCCCCCCCTTCATTCTTCCCCTCCTGCTATCTTCTTCTTCTTCTTCTTTTTTTTAACATATAATGTATTATTTGTTTCAGAGGTACAGATCTGTGATTCAACAGTCTTGCACAATTCACAGCACTCACCATAGCGCATACCCTCCCCAATGTCTATCACCCAGCCGCCCCATCCCTCCCACCCTCCTTTTACCTTTCTAACCTCATCTAATTCTACTTACCACCGCACCACACCAGCCTCTTTTCAGCTCCTTGAACATGCTGAGTTCATTCCTACCCAAGTATTTCTGTGCACACAGATTCTTCTTTTTGTAATAATCTTTCCTGTACTCCTTACATATATTGCAGATATATTTTTGTGTTTCAGTTTAAATTCCACTTCCTCAGAAAGGACTTTCCTAACCACACTATTTAATCAATACTCATCTAACTCATACTTTCCCTATCAGGACACCCATTTTGTTTTAATAGCACTTTTGCTAATTTCTAAGTTTCTCATTTTCTTTGTTCTGTTTTGCTCCCTCAACTAGACCTTTATTTTCACAAGGGAACAGTTGTTTGTTATCTTATTTCCCATTATATCCTCAATACCTATCTAGTTTTTTTGGAATATAAAGAATAAAAATTTGTGAAAACTTAAGCAAATATTAGAAATAGGCCCCATTGGAAGGGCTAAGTCTCTAGGAATTTGAAAGATCCATTTGTTTGTTGAAGTAAGTTTAAGAGGACTGCATTATAAATGATAAGAAGAAATATAGGCAAGCAAGAGGACTCAGGGGAGTCAGAAGGCCAGAGTAAGGCAGCGCCCCAGAAAGATGCTCTCGTGGATTCAAAAGAATCTGGCATTGTATAGGAAGACCAGACCTGGGAACT